GAAGCTGTGGTCTTTTGTTTTTTTAATTCTAATTTGGGGCAGGATCCATCATCATTTCTTACATAGAGTAACCTTGATCCAGTGTAGCAGAGGTCTATAGAAAGGTATGACTAACGAATGGCCCTGAGCACTGGAGGGTATTTTGGTGGCTGGCTGCTGCATTTCAAATTCAATTCGGGATATTTTTCTAATTTCCTTGTGGACTTCGTTTTTGACTTATGGGTTATTGTGAAGTGTTGTGTTTTATTTCCAAGTATTGGGGGTGTTTCCCAGATATCTTTATTAGTTATATTTCAGTTCTCGTATAGTCATATCAACATTTTGTATGATTTAAATTCTTTTAAATTTGTTGAGGTTTGTTTTGTGGCCCAGACTATGGTGTATCTTGGTGCAGTTTTATGTGCAGTTGAAAAGAATGTTTACTCTGCTGTTGGTGGGTAAAGTGTTACAAAAATGTCAGTCAGAACAAGTCAGTTGCTAGTGTTCAGGTTTTCTATATCCTCCGGGCTTTGTCCTGTCTACTTGTTTTATTGATTACTAAGACAGCAGTATTGAATTCTCTAACTGAAATATAGACTTTTCTCTTTCTATTTTAGGTCTGTTGGTTTTTACTTCATCTATTTTTGAAACTCTGTTATTTAGATGTATTCACATTTATAATAGTGGAGTCTTCTTGGTGAATTGAACCTTTTATTATTATGAATATCCCTCTTCATCACTGGTAATAGTCTTTTTGAAGTTTACATTTGTCTGGTATTAATATTGCCACTCTAATTTGCTTTGATTACTGTTTATATGGTGTTATCTCATTCCATTCATTTACTTTTTTTTTTTAAGATTTTTATTTATTTATTTGACAGAGATAGAGAGAGACACAGCGAGAGAGGGAACACAAGCAAGGGGAGTGGGAGAGGGAGAAGCAGGCTTCCCCCTGAGCAGGGAGCCCGATGCGGGACTCGATCCCAGGACCCTGGGATCGTGACCTGAGCCGAAGTCAGACGCTTAATGACTGAGCCAGCCAGGTGCCCTCCATTCATTTACTTTTAATCTATATATATTTCTATGGTTAAATTGGGTTTCTTGTAGACAGTACATTATTGCCTTTTGCTTTACTTCCTACTCTGCTAGTCTGTTTTTTAATTTGTTGTCTTTCATTGACAGTTGGATTATAATCTTGTATCTTGCTATTTGTTTTATATTTTACATCTTTTTTTCTCATGTTTTCTCTTTTTCTTCCTTACTTTGGATTAATTACATTTTTTCAGGGAAAAACATCAATCTATTGGGTACCAAAAATAGACAATAAGACTTATTGCATTTGATCAAAACAGTTGGTTACCCACAGCACACCAAACAACATGAACAGCAGCATAGTTGTGTGTTTGTTGGTTCCCTTTGCCCCAAGGCCAACAACCGATATGGTGGTCCCAGATGCACAGCATATGCACTGTGGCTAAGGAGCCAGGCCCAGAACTTTTATAACAAGCAGTAAGCAAACCTGCCTTGATTTGAGAAAGACATGATCTGATCTCTCCAGCTCTATTAACAATCAACAATCTTGGGCGAGGGCCCAGGTGACAGAGAAGTCAGATCCTTGCAATCTTGACATAGTCAACAAGACACGTTGAACACAAAAAGGCCCAGGGAGAATGCCTCCCAATATTTTTATAATCCCACTTTATCTTCATATTGGCTTGTTAAACTTCTTTCAAAAAATTTTTTAGTGGTTGCCCTTGCATTTACAATATATATCTTCAATTAATCAAAGTCAATCTTTAAATAATGTTATACCACTTCTTACATAGCAGAGGATCCTTCAAGAGTATATTCCCAATTACTTATCCCATCAGTATGAGTATTGTTATTGTTACACATTTTACTTTAATATAGGCTATCTGTCCACAACATATTGCTACTTTTTAAAATTGAAATGTAGTGACATACAATTTTATATTAGTTTCAGGTGTACAACATAGTCATTTGACAATTATATACATTACAAAATGCTCACCATGATAAATGTACTTACCAACTGTCACCACACAAAGTTACTGACTACATTCCCTATGCTGCACTTTACATACCCATGACTTTGAAAGCGAAATAGTAGTGTATTGCCACTCTCTTGCTTTAGAGAGTCAGTTGTTTTGTAAGGTGATTAAAAACAGAAAAATGTCTCTTCTATTTACCTTTATTCTGTCCATTCCAGAGATCTTTACTTCTTTATGTAGCTCTTTCTGGAGGCAGAGAGAATGTGATACGAGAGAGAAACCCGGATCTACATACGGAAATGAACTGTTCTGACACGCCCACCGGAGGCCTGTCTTCCTCCCTCCTCACAAGTGTGCCAGTGCCTCCATCCCATTTCTTCTTGGAGGCTCCTGTCCTTCTTTGGAATTCAGGTTAATTGGTTGCTCTGCAACCTCAGCTCTCTGAGCTTGACAAAAGTTGTGATTCTATAGACTAACAATTTTTAAAAATTGTGATTAGTGTGGTAACGATGCTCTTCCCAGCTTTCTGCATCCTGGATGGAAGGCAGAAGTCTCAGCCATCTACTTTTCCAGGGCTCCTTCCACCTCCTTTTGCCATCTGCTCCTGGGGCCGCTGCCTGGGTCTTTCTCTTGCCTGACACCCTTCCAGCTTAGCCCCCTGAATTATCTCTACCTTGGATGCTTTTCCCTCTCTACCTCTTCATGTGGCAACTATCTGGCAAAGAGAAGGGACGGAGGTTCCAGATCTCTCACCATCTTGGGGACAGGTCGAAACAACCCATGGAGTTCTCTTCCTGAGGATAAGCCTGGAACGGGGAGAAATGGTTTTGGGAGCTGAGCTCTCACCCACTGTACTCCCGAGTGGGTCTCATTCGTCTGTGCTAGGAAGTGGGACCAAGTATCTCCTTCATCCAGTATTGAGGACTAAGAATCAAACTGACTAAAACATTTCTTGGAAGATAGAAACTGCAACAGGACAGAAGGGGAATAGGCTGGGAGCAGAAGTTACAAGCACAGTCCCTGGAAGCAGCCTCTATGGATTTGAATTTCATCACTTATTTGCTGTATGGCCTTGGACAAGTCCCTTCACCTCTCTGTCTCTCAGTTTCTGGATCTGTAAAATGGAAATCATAATAGTATTTACCTCACAAGATTGTTAAAAGGATTAAAAGAGTTAATATATGCAAAGCACTTATAACAGCAACAGATATATAATAAGCTCTGTAGAAGTATTAACTATTAGGGTGTACTTCCTATAATTTCAGAAATTCACGGAAGAAAGCACTTTCCTCCCTTTCTCAGAACCCATTACAATCAAAACACCTAATGTTTATTGAGCATCTCCGAAGTGCCCACATCCTGTACTAAGCATTTTATATGAATTATCTCATAAGTGGTAGGGATTAATTATTCCTACCTAATAAGCAAGGAAATCAAGGAACAGAGAAATTAAGTGTTTACACAGCTGGCTAGATGCAGAGTTAGGTTTGCAACCCAGGAGGGTTGGACTACCACGCCTGTGCTCTTAACCACTTGCCTACCACTTGCCTCCCACAAACTAGTTTCCTTGCTTGTAAAATAGTGGGAATGCTACTTGCTGTATTTCTCTCACAGGGTTGTTTTAAGATCCCACTAACAATAGATGAAGCAGCGCTTTGGGTATCTGTACAGGGCTGGTCCCCTGACAGGGAAACCTGAATATGTCATGACTCCATCCCTTTGCACATGCCCATCCCCCCTCTTCTCTGCTTGTTGAACTTATTTCTTCAAGACTCGGCTGAGATATCAGCACCTAGATTTTATTCTAACAATGGAGGGATTTAAGCAGGGGGTGGCGTTTTGAATGCAGACTTGGATTTTGAAGTGGTGGCTGACTGCTGTGTATTATGGGGGGGGAATGCAGTGTAGCAGGGCCAGAGTGAGTACAGGAAAACCAGATAGAAGGCTACTGGAGGAGCCAAGGGAGAGATAGTGGTGGAAACGGAGAGGAATGGTGGATTGAAAAGTTATTTAGGGAAGAGAATCGACAGGGAATGCAGGTGTATTTAGCACAGGACAGGGAGGTGCCAAGGATGACTCCCAGTTCCTGGCTTGCTCGCGGATGTTTGTTGAGTGAATGAACGAATGACCCCACGGAAGAAGTATTCCCGACAGACACCCCCGACCCGGTCCTGTTCCCGCGGCTTCTGGAGCTGTGAGCACAAGGGGATGGGTGGGAAGGAGGAGGAAAAGGATGGGCACAGAATATCAGTCCAGGCGCTGCCAGATTGGACACTTACCGCACTGGTTTGAGCAGGAGGCACGGAGAGGGGGCAAGCGTTTCCTCCGTCGACCCCACAGTTGGTGCCTTGCCCCTCCACCCCCGCCAGTCTGAATTCGCAGCGCCCCTGTTCGCGCCCTGGAGGACTTGGCTCCACGCCGGCGTCTCGGGGAGCGGCGGAGCGGCCCACCCCTGCAGCCCTGACCCGCCCCGTCCCGGCGCCCACCCCGCCCAGTGCGCTGGAAGCCTGGGCGGCGGCTCGGTGCGATCCCGGAGACAGAACCCGGGGCTGCCGGGTGAGTCCTAGGGTCAGGGGGGCCCTCCGCCGCGGCGCACCTGCCCTGATGCGCGGCACCGGGGTCAGTGCCCTCCCCGCTCCACCAGGACCCCTTCCCCGCTGCGCCTTCTCGCCCAGGGTGCGGGTGCGTTGCGGCGGGGCTGCCCGGGAGTCGCCAGCAGCAAGTGCGCGTGGGTCGACAACCCGCGCGTGTCCCCGCGGCGGGGATGCGCTGCCGAGGGCGGCGCAGCAAGTGGATCTGAGCGTGCGGAGCCGAGCGCCCCAGCAGCGGGCGGAGTGCGGACGAGCGCGGCCAGCTGCGGGGCAGGGATGAGCGCCGGGAACTTTTCCCCGGGCCTGGAAGTGCGAGCGGCCGCGCCCGAGGGGGCTCCCCAAGGCCGCCGGGAGGGAGGCGAGCGCGGGTGCCCGCCGCCGCCCCTCCCCCACTTCCGCCGCCCGCCGCTTCCTCGTTCCCGGCTCCCAGGGCCCGGCCGTCCCGCGGGAGCCTCGGCGGCGCAGTCCCACCCCGGCCGGCGCGGCTCGCTCCCACGTCCCCGCCGCCGTCTCGCGGGAGCCGAGCGACCGAGGCAGCGGGGGCGCGGGGCGCTGCAGGTAGGGACTCGGCGGCGGGGGCGCAGAGGCGGCGGGCGGGCCAGGGCTGGGGGCCCGCTGCACTAGCTGGACGCCCTGGGGCCCTCGGCCGCCTCCTCCCCGCACCAGCGGGCGCGCCCCGGCCCTTTTTAGGGAATTTTCTCGCTCCCGCGGACTCCAGGGCGGGTGGGGCGGAGACCGGCAGGGCGCTCTGCATTTCTGGGGCTCCCCGGGCTCTCCAGGCTCTCCAGACCTCGTCTTTTCCCCAGCACCTTTCGTCGCGTAAACAACTCCCTTCCTCTCCCCGGCCCAGGCTCCGCTGCCCCCTGGGGAAAGCCCCTCAGGTCTCGGGAGATGGTTAGGGGGAGGGCGAGAGGGGCGTCCTGGCACCCCCGGCCCGTGGGCGCCCCCACCCTCGTTCTCTCCCTCCCCCGCCCGGCCGCTGGAGCAGATGGCCCCAGGGGCCCCGGGTATTTTTAGCGCTGTGACCTGGGCGGCAGCTCGGAGAGCCTTTCCCGGGAATCGGCGTCAGCGCCTCCCTCCCCCGCTGCCAGCCGGCGGCCACCGGGTCTCCGCACACTGTCTTTGGCCCTGGCTGGCCCACTTGGGTTTGAGCCCCTCGCGGCCCGCAGCCTCGCCTGTGGAGGTGGCCGGGGTTTCCGACACAGCGTCCAGATGAAGCGAGGGAGGCAGGCTACAGAGGATGACGAGCTGGTCCTCAAGCCAGATACTCCCTTGCCTCCGGTGATGGGCTCAGAGCGCTCTGCCTGAAGGAGATGGAGTGAATGCGAGTGGAAGTATAGGGCCTGGGCTGGCCCAGAGCTCTGGTGTTCTGGAAAGCTCTCAGCACTGGGGACCGCGGGGGCCTGGTCTGCGTTGGACCCAGGACCTGCCCTTCCAGTTGCTACTCACTGACTAGTGGGGATATAAGACTGAGATGTGTCAGAGGAGAGGTGCTTAAATAAAGACCTGGGGAGTACGGAGAAGAAAGAGATGGGGGGGGCCTCTAAATAGCACAGTATCTGGGCTTTACATTTTACAGAGCACCTGCACCAGCAGCCCCTGCGTTGTGTTTGAGGCAGGTAGGACTATTAAGTCATTTTTGGATGGGAAGACTGAGGCTGGAAAGATGATTTCCTGAGGGGCAGAGCCAAGTCTGGAAGTCAGGTCTGTGACTTCAGAGCAGGGTTTGGAGGGGATGGTGGTGATGGGGTGTGTGGGGAAGAGGGGGTGCTTTAGTCTTTGGGTTTTGAAGGCTGGGCATGAACCAGAGTTGCAGCACTTGAGCACCCTGAGATCCCCATCCCACCTTCTTCCATGGCCTTCCAAGGGGTGCCTGGGTCCATTAGAAGTGCCTCCTTCTTTTGGGCTGGACCAATCCCTCCAACTCCTCTCACCAGGGCATGATACTGAGACTTGGCTATTGGCCCTGTTCCCTCAACACAGAGGCGCTTCTTTTGCCGTGCCTGGAACCAGTGTCCCCTTTGTGGAGCCAGGCTCAGCCCTGCCTCTCTCTGAGACTTGAAGTTTGTAGTAACGGACTTTGTTTCAAGGAAGGGAAGGAGGTGGCCAAGTCCGGTGGTGTCCAGGCTGCAACGCCAGGATGCTGGCTGCAGAGGGGCTCCCCAAGCCCAGGCCCCCGTTGTGTTCCCCCTCAACTTCATAGCTCTACTTGCCCTGCCACCTCCCAGGAGCCGACATGGACCCAAATCCTCGGGCAGCCCTGGAGCGCCAGCAGCTCCGCCTTCGGGAGCGGCAGAAATTCTTTGAGGAAATTTTACAGCCTGAGACGGAGTTTGTCTTCCCCCTGTCCCACCTGCATCTCGAGTCGCAGAGACGTAAGCTCTGAGTCCTGGGGCGAGGGACTGGAATGGGGTGGGGGGATAGGTCTCATAGGTCCTGAATCATGGGAGCCTCTTCCCCTTGTTTTTTTGGCCCTCAAAACTTCTGTCTCTAGACCTGACACATATCTTTGACCATCCTAGGGGCCCTGGGGGCTCTGGCCTGCGTCCTCCTGACTGGCCCTCTTCTTGATCTGCAGCCCCCATAGGGAGTATTTCATCCATGGAAGTGAATGTGGATGCACTGGAGCAGGTAGAACTTATTGACCTTGGAGACCAGGATGGAGCAGATGTGTTTTTGCCTTGTGAGGACTCTCCACCAGCCTCCCAGACATCTGGTATGGCCCTTGGCTTGGGGGACTTGGGTACCAGTTAGCCAGAACCGGGTGGCAGGCTCTGAAGTGAGGCTGCAAGGCAGGGCTGGAGAAGTATACATGTAGGGGCTGGAAATGGGTGTTTCTACAAATGAAACAGCTGTCTGTTCTGATTTTAGGGAAGTTGACCCTGAGGGGAACTGGGTGACAGATCTCCAATCTAAAATTTTGGGAATGCCCCAGCCCCCCTTAGCCTTTGTTAATTTTGTGTTTGTGAAATTAATGTGATTAATTCATGTAATTAAAATCATATAAAATATAAATTTTTATATTAGATAAGCCATTTTAGTCCTCTTCATATGAATATTTACTGAGCACTTTTTTTTTTTTTTTAAGGTTGCTAATACTGTGCTCAATTAACTCAATCCTTACAATGTCCTATTAGGGCAGGCAGTAGTATCCTGATTTTATAAAAGAGGAAATGAGACTCAGAAGTTGTCACACAGCCAGAAAGTGGAAAAGCTGGGTTCAAACCATGGCTGTCTCATTCCAAAACCCGTATGTTTAGCTTATAAAATAGATATTCTCTTATTTAAAGCTGCCGCTGTTTATTGATGGTCTACTGCATGCCAGACATTTTATAATCATTCTTCAATTGATTTTATCCTCAAAACCCTTCTGGAGTGTAGGTGCCTATCCCATTTTTAGAGAAGATTCAGTCCTTGAGGGGGAAAATGACTTGCCCAGAGCCGCTCAGGAGCAAGTAAGTGACGTAGGTAGAGCTTGAACTCTTGAATTGATTGACCTGAGTCTAGGCCCCAGACATGGTGTAGTGAAGTAGAAGGAACTGGCAGTCAGGAGACCTGGCTCTTTGTAGACTGGCTCAGTGACTGGTCATTCCCCTGCCCTTCTCTGGGCTTCAGCCTCTCCTGGCCGGACCATCTCCAAGAGTCCCCAGAAGCCCTGTTTGTGGCCCTGACCAACTCTTCTTTTCTGGGCAGGGCTGGATGACCACCCGGAGGAGTTGAGCCTGCCAATGCCCACGCCAGACAGGACTGCGTCCCGCACGTCCTCCTCATCTTCTGACGACTCCACCAACCTGCACAGCCCAAATCCCAGTGACGGCGGGGCAGACACGCCCTTGGCACAGTCTGATGCGGAAGAGGATGGGGCTGATGGAGGGGCAGAGCCTGGAGCTTGCAGCTAGCAGTGGGCCTCCATCTACAGACTGACTGAGATGGCTCTTCTCCACAGGAGACCCTAGGCCCAGCCAGAGCCCTTCAGAGAAGACCAGACTCTTTACTTGCAGTAGGCACCAGGGGGAGGCAAGGACAGTGGGATGGCGTACCTCTCTGGGAATTAACCCTCCTGCTTTACTGCTAACCTTTCCTGCTACAACCCTCCCACCAGTTTTTGGCTTCCTCCCAAGGTAGGGCTTATAGGCGAGGAGATGGAAGATGAGGCAGGACAAGATGCTACTGCTTTTCTTAGCACCCCTCCCTCCCCCAGACTCTCCTGCAGTCTTCTGATAGAGTCTCCTAAACCAGTGTCTCTAAGTGGACGTGAACTCCGTAGCACTCCCCGTGCAGTGGTACTCCAGCCATCCTGCTCCCCTACATCCTGTTCGGGAACAGGGCACGGTATAAATAATAAATAATAATCTACCAACCACTCCCCTTCGTGTGTCACGTTGCAGAGATCTCAGACCCACTATATCTAACCAACACCACCCCCCCATCTCTCATGTGCTCCATCTCTTCAGGAAATAGTTCTTGAATACGTGTGCCGGGCATTTGGAGTATAGTTCTGAACAAGATAGGCTGTATCCCTGCCTTTGGTACTTGTCTCTGGAGGAGAAAACCAAGTAAATACCACGGTTCACAGTGTAATCAGTAGCATGATGAGGAACAACTCTGGTATCAGAAAATAGCTCTTGTGGCCACCAAAGAGCTGATTTTTTTAAGCTGAGATCCAGAGGCTGAGTAGGAGTTTGCCAAGTGGGGGCTGTAATTCAAGCAGCAAGAGCAGCTTGGGAAGACTGTAAATGGAGAGAAATAGCTCTGAGGAACTGAGGAACATTCAGCTGGGCTAAACTGTTGGATTTGGGGACGAGAGGAAGGTGAGAGAGGTAAGACTGACAAAGGTTAGTCATGAAATACTCGGAAGCCTGTATCAAGTTTCAATTTGGCTGCTAGTAAAAGGTCAGAGACTTAAGATACAAATTTATTTCCTCATATAAAAGACATCCGAAGTGCAGGACCATGTGGCTGCTCCAAAGTTACTGGGCGCCTGGGTCCTTTTTGGCTCTTTTTGCTCAGCCATCCCAGCCACGTGGCTCGAATTCCCATTGATAGCTCCTGTCTGAGATTGCCGTTGAAGCCCCGCCCATCATGTCCTTGAAACTGGCAGAAAGTGGGAGAAGAAACTGGGGACAGGCAAGGCACAGCCTGCTGTCCGTTTCTACTTCAGGAAGCGTCCTTGGAAGTTCTAAACAGTCGTGTCCACTTTCATCTCACTGACCAGAGTGCTAACCCAAGAAAGGTTTCACTTACAGGTATTTTATAGACGTAGGGACACAACATTATCTGGAAGAAAGAAAATTCTGGCCTTTGGAAAGACAGTAACCTTTTCAAGTCACTGAATTACCAGTGCCTCTGATTTCCGTGCTACCTTTCAAACCTCTCAGAAGCACCGTGGCTACTGGAGAGGCTGGGGTGGTCCTTTAGTAGAGCACACTGCTGTCTTGATAAAAACCAGGCTGTTTCTAAGGAACAAGAGGAATTAGTCTTTGGATAGGTAACTAGCAGTTGACGTGTTAGGGGCCATGTTAATGAATCTGAATTTTATGGGGAGTAAGGAAGGATTACAGGTGGTTGCATTTGCTTGTTAAAAAGGTAATTCTGGCCACAGTGTGGGGAATATACTGGAGGAGGACAGGCTCAGGACAGACACCTAACACAATACTCCATATGCAAGAGATAATGGTAGTGATCAGCTTGACTGGGTTGAGGCAGGGTATAAAAAATAAATGACATTCATTCAATAAATATTTATTAAATGTCAGTGTTTAACATGTGTAAGACATTGAACAAGGAATGTAGAGTGGGGAAAAAAAAAAAGATACAGTGCTGCTTTTATGGGAGTCTAGTGTAGTGGGGGCCCAAATGCAAAATTGTGACTATGACCAGTTCAAGGAAAGAGTTCATAGCCTATTAAGAGCAGTCACAGGGGCATTTCCCTTGAGGAAGTGGCATCTGACCTGAGCCCTGAGGATAAGAAGGAGTCAAGGAGGGGAGTAAGGAGTGAGGGGGGCGGGGGCGTGAGGGGAGAGGCTCCTTGTGGACTGCCCACTGGAGAGCACCAGTATGGCTGCCTGGGAACCAGGAGCCACACTACATAGCGGGGTAGTGGACTAGCGTGGAGGTGGACAGGATGTAGAAAGGTGGAAGGAATGAGGAGAGATTTAGGAGACAGTTTCCAAAAGATTTGACAGGTAAGTGAGAGGAAGGGGTCAAGGGTGCCACCATTGTTTCTCCCTTGCGCAACAGGATGATGTGGAATGTAGGGGAGAGCCAGGTTTGGGAAGAAGGTCACAAATTTGGTTTTGGCCATGGTGAGCTCGAGGTGCTTTCGAGACCTGCAGGAAGACATGTTGGGTAGGCACTCGGACCCACGTGTGTTGGATTTAGAGAGGATTAGGCTGGGAAAATAAATAGATGGAGCTACCAATGTGTAGGTGGTAAGTGAGTGAGTGTGCCTTCCCAGGGAGGGAGGGGGAGTGGAAGGAGAAAGGAGGGTTCTAGGACCCAACCTTAAGGGGCATCAAGTCATTTCTCACATCAGAAAAAAGAAACCATTCCACCTCCCTTTGTACATCACACACCACCATGGGATCAATGGCCTTCAGCCTAAATCCCAAAGTTCTTTGTGCCACCCAGGCTGAGTGAGTGACAGGCCTGCAGTCTTCCCATGGTCCCAGCCTGCTTCCACCCCTGCAGGAGGCCATTGTAAGTGACAGCTCTTAAGTGCTTTTCCTAGCGCTGGTGAGAAACTTGTGGGAGTTTTGTGCTCCTTTTGTCTAAAAGCCTCTGTGTCCAAGTTGAGATCATCTACTAAACTGGGCCGGGGCTCAGTCTCGTGTGAAATTTTGCAGTTTTTCTGGGTTGCTTATGACTTTGCTGCACACAAAGGACATGGCTCTGTCCTTGTGCCCTCTCCTTGCCTTTGGAGTAGCAAATCTCAACTACCTGTCTGACTGGCTGAACCTTCACCTGGGCTGCAGCCTATGAGCCCATGGCTCTGCTATACAGGGCTTCTCAGCTCCCAGGATCACCCTACTCCCCTCCGAGGCAAACGATGGGAAGCTAGACTAGCTTGGTTGCTGTCAATATGTCAACAAATCTCTTAGTACTCCAGGCACGTGATGCTAAGATCTGTGGGGCTTGGGGCATTTTGCCTGCCAGTCTTCTGGAGAGGCAGAACTGTGTATGAGCCTCTGGGGAGCCCCCAGTTAAGCTGCTAAGAGCCCCAGCCTTGCCTAGAAAAGTCTAGGGTCAGCTGAGACCCCAGGACTACTTCCTGCTTGGACAATGATCTCTTCTTCTGCCAAACCACAGGGGCTTGGCGAGCCTTCAGAGCCAGCATCTCCAGCTGACTGTTTCTTGAGGCCACGCAGTGCCCCTGGAGAGGAGAGGATGATTTGGAGCCAGCTCCGAGGCAAGCAGCCCAGCTTTCAGTCTCCAAGCCACAGCGTGGCTTCTTCTGTCTCTTGCAGACTTGTCACAGACTCTGGGGAGGAGGGAAGAAGACAGACTCATCCTGTAGAATCCTATGCTGTGGAGGAAATAGGAGGGACCACAACTCAGGAGACGATTCCCTGGAAGGTGCACACTGTAGCAGTCCCTAAAGAATGCACAAAACCTGACACTGAAGAGCACGGCAGTGTGGGGACAGTATCATCTGTGCTGTGACTTACTTGTTCAGACATTGCTGAGCACCTAGTATGTGCTAGCCTCCTTGCTGAGGCAACAGTAATACTAAGGTGACCAGGAGCTCTTCCAGGAGCAGATGTGGCCACAGATAATGGAAAGAGAACACAGGCTGGAGCAGAAGTGAACAGAAGACCGTAGCACACTAGAGAGGGAGAAGGTAAGTCTCCTGGAGGTGGCTGGGTCTTCAATGATGGGGACAGGCAATTTCAAAAGGAGACAAAACATGGAAATATAAAATAATCATAATGATGGTAGCTCCTCTTTTTTTTTTTTTTTTTTGAGGTTGATGGTGTGAACTCTAGTCCTGGCTTCATGACTCGCTGTGATCTTAGGCACTATTTCAGTTTCTGTACCTGTTTTCTCATCTGTAAAATGGAGATCATAGACCCCACATCCAAGAATTGAGTCAATGATGGTCAATATTATTAAGCACTTAATACATTCTAGATCCTACATAAAAATAATTTCTAATCCTTAACAACAACCCTGAAAGTAGGTTTATCCATTTTACAGAGGAAGAAAAGTGACCCTCAGGTTGCTCATGCTCCTGTGGATTAAAAGCTGGTGTGGGGATTTGTCTGACATCTAAACTCGTGGCCTTTATTCCATGTCTAGTGAGAGAAGAACACTAGATGGAAGTAGAATGAGGGCATAATGACAGAAAGACATCTTTTTGACACTTCCTCTTTGGTTGGTTGGGGTATATCTTGGCAGAACCCAAATTTGGCTCTTCATAGAAGTATGGTTGTGAGTTTTACCGAGAGACTAGGAGCAAAATCCTTCATGAATGTGCTCCTCATAGGGTAGCTGGAAAAACCCAAGCAGGAATTTAACATCAGAACTCCTACAACTCAATAATAAAAAGGCAAACAAGCCAATATAAAAGTTTGGAGGGGGTACAAAATGATTTTAACAGACTCCTCACGAGAGAAAATATATGTATGGCCAATAAGCATATGAAAAGATGCTCAACATCGTCAGGTACCAGGGAAATGCAAAATAAAACCACAATAAGATACCACTACGTAAACCATATGGCTAAAGCTAAAAAGTCCTCCCAAATTAAAAACAAATGTTGAGCAGGATGTGGATCAAACAGAACTCTCATATATTGTTGGTGCAAGTGTAAAATGATACATTTTGGAAAAAGATCTGGCAGTTACTTAAAAAGTTAAACATTACCTATGACCTTTGACCACTCCTAAATATTTACCCAAAGGAAATAAACATATGTCTACAAAATAACTTATACAGTAACCTACTTCATAACAGCTAAAGACCTGAAAGAGTTCAGGTGTTCATCACCAGGAGAATGGATAAACTAAGGTATATTCATACAATGTGAAACCACACAGCAATAAAAAGAAACTGCTGATACATGCGAGAACATGGATGATTCTCAGAAACATTCCTCCTGTGAAAGAACTCTTACACAAGAAAATATACATACTATACGATGGTTTCACTTACATGAATCTCTAGAACAGATCATATTGTGGAGAAAAATCATAATAGTGGTTGCCTCTGGAAAGTAGGAGGGGGCAGGGGCGCCTGGGTGGCTCAGTCGTTATGCGTCTGCCTTCGGCTCAGGTCATGATCCCAGGGTCCTGGGATCGAGTCCCACATCAGGCTACCTGCTCGGCAAGAAGCCTGCTTCTCCCTCTCCCACTCTCCCTGCTT